TGTCGGACCGGAACTGTGCTCTGTGAGCATCAAGACGTTGTGTTTGTGTTTCCTCCAACTTCAGCCCTCTGCTGGTTCCCGCTGAGCAAAGAGCTGCAGTCGGACTTTTTCTTTTTCTTTTTCTTTTTTTTTTCTCTTGTTTGGATCCGACTCAGGAAAACACAGCGGAGGAAAATGAGGCCTCCCGTTTCTTAATTATTTAAATCAAACAATTAACTGGGGCTGTCTGGGGAGCAGCTCTTTTATCCGCTCATCCAAAACAACAACAGCAGCAGCAGCAGCAGCAGCAGCAGCAGCAGCAGCGGTCGGGGTGGAGTCTGCAGGAGGACGGATCACATGGAAAACAGCAGCCAATGCAGGAAAACACTCACACAGGCTTCCTTCTGGAGTTCCTCAATTATTCAAACAACTATTTTGGAGTGTGCAGGTGCAGCTCCTTCAGATTTCCTCCAAATCACAGCTTCTGATGCACAAGTTCAACTCACCTCAGCGGACAAAATGTCAACTAAAGCTTCATTCTCTCACTTTAACTCACAGGAATCTCTGCTTTAAAACAAAAATGAGCAGCGCTGGGACATCTGATGCTGGAATATGAGAAGGAAAAAAACACCTTAAGCATCAAATACTTTGACTGGAAAACACGTTTTGTGTTTTTGTTGCGCCTGTAATTTGCATTCCATCACTTTGTTTCAGGAAAACTTGATCCGCTGTTCACATTGATTACACGGTCAATTATATATAATTTATAGGCCTCAACTGGAGAGCCGCTCTCCGATTAAACTTTGATGAAGCCATGTACTACATTCTTTGTTATAGACCAACATGCCAGCCGCTGTCTGGTAGGCAAAAAAAAAATATCTATAAATATTGACAAAAGCACAAAGCAGGAGCTGATTTTTCCCTTTTTTTTATTTTTTATTTTGTCATCTGAGCTCCAAACATGAGAGTGAGGATTCAAATTAGAGGATTAAATCTGTTTTTTAATTAAATATTCCCAACACCAGGGCAGAATAAGTCTCTGCTTCCTCCAGTTGATTTAATTCAGGTTTCTTTGCTGTCATAAGAAGTTCTTTTAAATTGAACAGTTTCATCCAGAATCCACTCGGTTCCTCCTCGAAAAGCACAAAAATACACGAATTAAACGTGAATGTTTTCATTAAAGGAAAAGGGGATTTGGCTGATTTACGCTCTGACTAAAAAACTCCGCATTAAATAAAATTAAAAAAAAAACCCAAAGTGATGAAACTCTTGCACCGACTCCTGAATCCAACTTGTCATGAGCCGGAAGTTGTGCTGCTGATCCTCCTGATCCTGTCGCGTTGCTCTCGAGTCGCCGTCCGACAACAGAGAAGAAGAAAAAAGCAGCTTCTTAACAAACACGCGGAAAAAATCAATAGTATCATAACAGCTGATATTTATTATTCATTAATGACGGAACCACCTGCTGAGCCCGGGACAGGAAACCAGCACAGATGTCACACTTTGGTTCAGAAAGTGAAGCTGTGCAGGTGCTAGTTTTTGTTTTTCAGGTGAAATTAAAGTTAATATTTACGTCCAACATACAGAATAGTTTCAGCATTTCTGTCTTTGTGCTTCTATGATCCAGGTTTCTTTGTCTAATTAGTCATTTAAAGCATCTCCTGTCATTTGTTCTCATTCCTTTTTACTATTATTATGTTTAAATATCTGCAAAGATTTAAGCAGAAGAATACAATGATTTCCACACTACTCCTCCTATTTGTTGTTGGTTTTGTGATCTCCTTGTAATCGACCTTTTGGATTTGCAGGTTCATCAGCTGACATAAAGCTCCGCTAACCTGAAGGCTGGCTGATAAATTAAAGACAAATCCTCTGAATCTGAAGCTCATGTGAAGTAGGAGCAGGAGGACACGCTCAGATGATCTCTGCTGTGCTGCAAGGTGACGATTTTGTCTTGAACACTTCAATTTTAGAGGCTAAAAGACACTAAAATATCTGTTTTAAAAGGTCTAGAAAGTCAATAAACATACAAAAAAAACACACACACACACATACTGTTAGTGTGAAAAAGCTGCAGATTTGCTCTGATCGATGGAATGAAGAGAAAAATGCTAAAGGTCGTGTTTTAGGGAACAGGTATTATTTCTTTAGAAGCTGATTTCAGTAGTTTTGGACTCACTTTGTTAATTTTTGGTGATCAAAATAATCCATAAATGTTGGTTTGAACATTTTATTCTCATTAGTTTTGTTCGTTTTTGCTTTAAATAACATTTAGAGCCTAATCCTGGGGAATTAAATCTAAAAAATAAAGATAAATAAATGAATAAAATCATGCATTAAGGGACACATAAGTCTAAAAATGGCCAAATTCTTTCTTTTCTGTTTCTTTTCGTTTTTAGTCTGAAAATCTTTAAGTCGTTTATGTCTCATGTAGTCTTTTGAATTGACACTTTCATGATTTTTTTCTATTATAAAGGAGTTTTTCTTCTTTACTTTCCAAGTTTTCTGCTTGTAAGAAGCAGCCACTCGCCACTGGCTCCGCCCTCCGAGGCTTCAGGCCGCTTTCTGCCTCTCAGAGAAACGCTTTTGGCACAAGGCGCGGCGAGCTTCTGCCTGCGCGCTCCTCGGTGTGATAGAGCCGCGTTGGTCTTCATACCCGGCAACGTTGATCAATATTAGAGTCACTCAAGTATCAAATCCTATTCATCACCGCTGGGAAAGCAGCTTTTAGACAGACCTCCTTCACCTCCAGGCTTCTCCTGTTTCACAGCAGCAGCTGCGCTCCCCTGCGCGTAAAAACGCGCCGATTGTATCCAAGAGACGCAGACAGACTGCTGCTGCGGAGCTCACATTGCACTGCTGCTCTACATCTATCTGACTTTAAAAAGAAAGAAACAAACTCTATTAACACCTCAATCAGCAAACACAGGCCTGCTGATGGTAAAACGCTCAGATCTTTACTCCAATGCGCATTTTTAGCACCAATATCTCCGTTAAAATGGAAACATATCTCTTTTTTTCCGACTTCACGACACAAAAACTCGCTTTTTTAGTCACCAAAGAAAGGCTTTGAGAGGCTCAAGTAAAACGTGCACGGTTTTATTTCAGCTTCTGTCGCTTACACAGACACATTTAAAGCACACTGTCACAAATGAAATATGATTCGTTTTTTTCTCCACCAAAAAAAATAAAATAAATAAATTAAGTTCAAATAAATATAAAGAAATAACAACAACAATAATAATAACAGTAACAATAAAAAATAACGTTTTCTCAAGAAGTGTTGAAAAAAACAAACAAGTATAAATAAGGCCGACTCTGTCCCTTCATCAGAATATCTACAAAGTGCTCCACAAAGGTGTCAGTGACAAGAATAATAATAATAATAATAATAATAATAATAATAATAATAATAATAATAATAATGATCCATGAGGACACAAGGAGGGGAGATCCACAACTCATGAAGAACAACAGTAATGACCATAATCTGATTGTCGAAGCGTCATTGCAGTGAACATACAACAGGTTTACACATCAGTGAGTCTTCTAGGCCTAATCACCATGAACCCAGTGGCAGAGGAACAAAAAAAAACAGAAGAAAAAATAAATTAAAAAACACCAGAAAAAACAACCAAAAAAAAAAAAAACGCATCCTACTTTTTTTCTTGTTTTTTTTTTTTTTTTGAACGTGAGCGCGTGTTTTTAAATCACCATGAAACGTGCCAAACACTTGCGTAATGAGGTAGACACACAGCTATACCGTGTGAATGTGTGTGTTCGTGCGTGTGTTCGTGTGTTCGTGTTTGTGTGTGTTTCTTCTTATTGCAATGCATTCACTTTAGGGGTGTGTGGGTGGTGGGTGGGGGAGCTTTTTTATTTTTATTTTTGGAGCCACAGAAAACCTTCCTCTGTCTTTACAGTAAACCATGCAGTAGATTACAGGAGTTATTGTGCCTCGTTTATTAATTAAACCGCCGCAGACCGACGTTCCTTTCTTTTTTTCTTTTTTAAAATATTTTGTTTTAGTCTGATTTGTCCCCAAATTTCTTTTTTTTTTTTTTTTTTTTATCGGATTCCCCAAAGAAACAAACACCTGGGAGAAAAAGAAAAAAGAAAATTCAATACATTTCAATGAGCTTTGTCCACACACGGAGGTGCAATATATTCACAAATATGTACACTGATAAATATAAAAAAGCTATTCCGGCTAAGGAGGATCATAATTATTCCTCGGTTCCCGTCATTATTATTCTTATTTTTTTGTACAATAATTGCCATGTGAACGGACGGAGCCTTGTTTCCTCCCTTTTCTGCCACTTTCCTCCCTTTTGTGGAGAAGATTTAAGTTTGTTTTTTTTGGACAGGGTGGTGTCAGTCTTTGTCCTCCCAGTCCCTGCGTGTGTGCTCCGTCTCCACTGTCAGAATAAAAAACAAAAAACAAAAAACAGGTACACCGTTGTATCCAGATGTTTTAGTAGCTGCTCTTAAAAACGAGTCAAAAAACTGAGAATCCCACATCCACACCCATCAGGCTCTAAAATACTGCCGGAAAACACTCCACGGATTATTTGCATTTGCTTTCAAAAAAGCAAAAATAAATAAAAATCAAATTGTCGCTGCCTGTGTTGGATGCGTTCTGGTTCCACAGCTGGAGTTCGTGCGTAAAAACGCGCATGAAATGTTGCTCCACTGGACGGAATCTTTAACAGACACTTCAGTCAGAAAACGAGATTTTTCTTCAATAAATTACATTTTCAGGAATTCTTGAAAGCACAAAAACACCTAATGAGAATCTTTATCTGGGGAACAAAAGCAGCCGTAGTGCCCTAATGTCAGATCTGATGAGCGGTGTGACGACTTGTTGGGTTTTTGTCTAAGTGCGCGTCTCTGGGGCCTGCGCGGCCCCTGGAGCCAAAGGCACAGCGGTGTACCTTGTTTTGTTTTATTTTTGTTTTTCTGACAGTGTGCAGCAGCAGCTCGTCTCTGATTTGTCTGTTTCGTAAACGTTCGCTGCTCTCTTAGTGCGTCGCAGAAAACTTCATTCGTTTCTGCTTTTGCCGCTGATTGCAAAACCAAACGCGGACCACGTTCTTTTTCAGGTCCAGTTTCTCGGCGATCGCGGCGATCTTCTCCGACGAGGGCCTCGGCTGCACGGCGAAGTAAGCCTCCAGAGAGCGCTTCTCCGGGGCAGCGATAGACGTGCGTTTCCTCTTTTTGTCGCCGCCGTTGAAAATCTCCGGCTTGGACATCTTCTCCCGCTGCGCGCGCTCCGCCTCCTCCAGCCAGGCCTCCAGGATCGGCTTCAGGGCCACCATGTTGTTGTGCGACAGCGTCAGGGACTCGAACCTGCAGATGGTGCTCTGGCTCAGACACCCCACCCCGGGGATCTTAAGGTTGGCCAGGGCCGCCCCCACGTCCGCCTGGGTCACCCCGAGTTTGATCCGCCTTTGTTTGAACCTCTCGGCGAACGACTCCAGCTCCCGGGGATCCGGCTCCGCGTCGCCGCCGGCGCCCCCCAGGGAGCTGTGGGAGCCGAGGCCGTGCGGGTGCATGTTCATGGACTGTGGGTGGTGGTGGTGCTGCATGTGGTTGATGGCCGACATGTGGGCGGCGTGGGCGGTGTGCGAGGCCGTGGAGCAGACATCCGAGCCGGGCATGCCTCCCAGAGAAATCCCCGGCGTGAGGTGGTCCAGCAGGTCGCCCTCCAGGCCCTGCGACGGCTGGTGGTGCCCCGGGTGGTGGTGGGAGGTGAGCACGGACGGGTGGTGCAGGTGCGCCGAGGAGGAGGTCGGGGTGCAGGTCATGCTGGTCATCGTGGTCATGGTGTGGTAGGTGGCGTCCGGCTTGAACGGGTGACTCTTCTGGGCCACGATGTCCACGGCGGCCAGAGCCTCGGCTCTCTGCAGCAACGTCTCATCGAAGCCGGCGAAGATGTTGCCCTGGAGCTGCGGATGGAGCAGAGGGAGGCCGGTTAGAGGCACAGATCTGAACAAGCCACAGAACAAGTCCGTGGGATCAGTTGAATTGCTGGAGTGCGTCTTCATTTTGCCTAATTTGTCTTTTACGCACGAATCAAGGAAATTATTGTAATTATTATTATTATTATTCTGTATTTTTTAAAAAGTGGAAAATAGCAAACAGTCAATTTTAGTTTCTGTTTATTCTATTTAATTCAACATAAAGGTTTAAAAATACAAACACTTATTTTTGGAGAAAATTCTTTATGAAACTTGATATATTTTTTTCTTTATTCTACATTTTTCAAACATGGACTCTGAGATTTCAACATTTTCCAGATAAATCATATTTTCTTAATCCTATGAAGCAGCTAAATAAACGTGGACGAGCTTCTGAAGGTGGTTTTCAGGTGCAGCTGAATTTTCCACATTTAGAAATTTAACGCGTAAAACTGAACTTTCTGTGTCTCTCGGTTCTCCAACAATCCAATCCAACACAAGCTGGACATTTACTGGATCCGTCCGACGTCTCGAAAGTGTGTCAGCGTGGAGGGATATTCATTTAAAATTAATATTTACGATCTCCTGAATAATTTCTGCGGACAATGAAATGAGACGGGTGTGAGTTTGAATATGAATGGGACAATATGAGCTAACACGCGCTCGGAGAGTCCTCGCTGCCTCTTCGCTGCTTCGTCTTTCATCCTCAGCTGGATCACTCACGCTTGTCTGAATGCGGGATTTTGGCTTCACGGTTGTGCGTCAACGAGTTTGTGCTCCGAGTGTTGCCTGGTGTGCTTTGGGTTTCTGAACCGTTTATTCTGGATTTCATTAACTTGTGTGTTTATGTACAGCAGCATAAGGTCATTTTATTTTCACTGCAGCTTCCAAACAGATCATAAAATTTGGATTTTTACTTTGGTGATCAAAATATGATGCTGTGATTATAAAGGAGGTAAAGAAAACCAGCATTTCTGGGTAGAATTCAGCCCCTTGTGCGTCTTTACGCATCAGTTTAACCCCAAACTATAATCCTGTGTCTTCTGCAACAATTTCAGATTTACTACTTTCCCAGGATATCTGTCATGTTCTTACTGTCGGAGCAGCTGCTGGAGACTGATGGGGAACCAGCAGACGGGTGAACTGTGGACTCACCGACGGCGTGGGCAGGCAGGCTCTGCGGATGGCCTCCGAGCTGGAGTGCAGCGGAGTGTACTTGGGCTCGTGGAGGATCGGGTGCATGCTGAAAGGCTGTTTGCTGTTCATCGACATCATGATTGCAGAAGTGAGGGAGGGTCGTTGTCCGTCGTCCTCGTTCGGCTCCGTGTTGGTGGTTTTCCCTTTAAAAAAAAACCGTCTCAAAGAGGAAACAACGATAAAAAATTAAAATAAAAAAACCCTGCTAAGACGCAGATGATTCTGGGGATGGAAAAGTCTTTCTGGAGCGCAGGTGCAGTCAGGCTCGCTGTTGATGAAGAAGAAAAAAAAAAACAGAAAAAAGATGAGGAGATGTAACTCCGGGACTCCGTCTGCGGATCTTCTGCCTCTTTTTCTGCGTGTGAATGACTTCTATAATAAAGATGCTTCTCGCCTCCTGCGCCTATATTGGAGCGCTGCCTCGGAGGCTCCTCCTCATTGGTGGATCCGGACGCCCTCCCCGCCGCACGCCTCCACCAATCAGGAGCGCGGACAGTGGCGTGGCCACGCCCACAATGTGTGCCCGGCTGGCTGGAAAGAAGGAAAAGAGACGCTTTTGTGTTGCACTGCTAAAAAATAGTCGTTGAAATATGTGGAGTTAATCAAAAATGTGGCTTTTGTGGCATGACACTGGATTATGATCAATCCTAGAACACAACAGCTGATTTTATGTCATTAAAACCTTTTTTTTCTTGATCAGGTAGGAAGCCTTTATTTACCCCTCACCTGGTATCAGCGAGATTCAAACAACAACACAATATAACAAAATAAGACTTTTCACATGTACAGATGAATATGCAGGTTTTAGGGTCAAATAATCGCCTAAATGTTGCCTTTAAAGATTTTTTACGCACATTTCCGAGTAAATTATGAACATTTGAGCCTCTCCTGGCCTGAAGCGGATGAATTATTAAATATCAAATGTATAGTTGAGTCTTCAGGAGCCTCTGACAGCAGCTCACATGTCAGCATCTTTTCCAGCAGAGACGAGTTCATTTTTCCTGCATCACGCTCTTGAAAACTTGTCATTTTTCTCTCTGTGTTTTTTTTTTTTTTAGAGGCTTCGTGTGTGCACGCGGACGGGCTGTGACTGTGATTGGGTGATAATTTGCCATCGATTGATCAGCTGCTTGGGAGAGACAGAGATGATTAATTGATGGCAGGACGTGCAGGAATTTCCTCCTGCCTGCACCTCGTTCACTTTCTCAAGCAATTAATAGGCTCCATTAATTAATCATGCTTCATTTACTTTGTGGCTGCAGCGGCGGCGCGGACCCCCCCTCTTCTTCACGCACGCACACGCACGCGCACACACGCACTTCTTCTTCTTCTTCTTCTCTCAATTAAAGAATAAACAGGCCTGAACGGGAACTAAAGAGCGCGAGCAGCAGACGATGAAATATTTACACGTGAAGCGCGCGGGGTCAGCGGGCCACGGCCTGTCAATCAAACTGGGGGGATTTCCGGCGGACCAAATAAGACGGAATAAATTATCGCGATAATAACCCAGAGGAGTGGGCGGGGTCAGAGGGCT